TGCTTGTCGAATGACTACCACAAAGAAACTTCAAAAGCCCTCTGCTCCAGGCCATTTCTTCTTCTTGGGTCTTTGTAGAGGCGGGAATTGAACATTCATGACAATTAATTCCTATTAATGACCATAATTTCATTGTGCTTTCTAGTCCATGATGGTCTTGACTATACCTTTTTTTCTACAGTGAAAATATTCAAGGGTTGGCTCCCCTCTTACATTGTACATCATAGTGAATCTATCTTAACTGTCTCCCTGCATCATTCTCATACATAAATTTGTTGTGAAAAAGCTGAAATATTGATGCTGTGGTGGGAATAGTGTGTATTTCACATGCTCATCTCATACATTTTGCAATGCCCATGCTTAAGGGTATTGTGTCTAGACTCTAATTATGTGTGGGATAGTTAGAATGACTTTTTCCCTCAGTTTGAAATCAGGTTATAGAAGCCCGACAAATGCAAATTCCAAAAGCTGATGTTAGTAGATGCTTTATCGTGTTTGTTTACTAAGGTTCAGTGATTTGTTGACTGCAGATTTTCTGTTTAAGGAAATGCAGTATGGGTGCTCATCTGAATAAAAAGCTGTAGCCCAAAATTCTCTGAACAGTGTTCTAAAATTACACACAATGTTGATAATTTCTCACCCAATATCAGCTGTGGGATGCTCTTTAAAAAGTTTTCTCTTGCTTCTTTTTAGGCATTAAGGGACTGAAATTAGCATGACCACTTGATGTGTTAAACCCATGGAACCTCTGGGAATTGTAGCTGGAGTCAATGCTGACAGTTTCAGCATTATTTTCCACTCCATGCCTTGTAGGTGCATTGGAGTCCAAATGTAGGTAGTCAGCCCTTGGCAGAATTACACTTACCAGCTGTATTGCAAGGGAATGGGAAACCTGAAAGATAGGGCAGATGGACAGATCTCTCATGAAAATGTTCCTAAATTCATAGCATTTCCCTGTGGATTCCTGGATATCTGGAGGCCCGTGTTAATCTCCCCTCTTCCCCCAAACCTGTAAACCTCTCCAGTTTCCATCTGAGGAATGATGATTAGGGAATTCTGTGGGGAGTTTATTCATGAAACTTGCATCCAAGTGCTCTCCTGCTGGAGGGAATCATTTAGTTTGGAGTATTTAATTAAAATTAGAGTTCAAGGTATACATCCTGGCTCTTATTCAAATGACATGTGGGTCTATGGTGGGAGATTGTCAGTGGTGGACAGCTTGCTGAGGAAGACCATGTGAGCCCAATCCTGCATCAGATAAAGTAACTGAGTTTTACTGACCTCAAGGAATGAATAATCGGACCTATTTAACGTGACAGAAAATTTATTAGCACCCACTCTTAGAAATTGTAATTCAGTTGCCATCTTGTTCTCATAGCGATATTTCAGAACAACTTCACCAAAATCTCAAATATTTTGTTTAAATATAAAACAGGTCTGATTTGTGTTAAAGCAGTGTGCACATTGGACTGTGCTCTTGTACCTTTGGCTTAAATAGTGTTTGTTACAAACTGTCATTATTGAGCAAGAGGTCTGCTGGCTGCAAAAAAGACTGAGAAGCTAATTTTAATGAAAAAGTTCCTTACCAAACACTTTGACAGTAGGGTTTTCTCCCCCATTCAAATGCTTAATTTTCTGGGTTTACTGAAGTCGTTCCAGCTTTCCTTTAAGCTCTTAAATATGAAGTGCATGTTTTATAAGGAAACAACCCCTTAAAACTTTTTTTGTGGCATGCTCAAGTATAAAGAATTATTTTGGATTTGACGTTTAGTAAAATGCAATCGATATATAACTGTACATTCCATTACTTGGGAAGCAATGGCAAGGACACTGGACTGGGAGTCGGGACACATGGCTCTCGCTGCTCATTGACTCCCTGCATGACCTTGAGGAAGTCAAAGCTCTCTGGCCTTGTCAATGCACAAACGTGCATAGGTTAACCAATCCAGTGCAAAACCCTATGTGGATAATTTTATTTATTTAGTGGCTTATTTCAGTTTAGTTTAAACCTGTTCCTAATCAATTTAAATTAAACCAGAACAAGACTGGCTTAAGATGAAACAAGTGTCCACACAACCTTTTTCTACTGGTTTAACTAATCATTTTAAAATCACACTATTAAGTTTGACTGATACAACTCTATATAGACAAGCTTTCAGTTAACACTGACATCCCATTGGTTCCCCATCTATAAAATGGGGGCAATGTTTCTTACCTTTTTAAAGATAAGTTAAAAAGTTCTACATGAGTTCCAAATTCTCATTATAAAAACACATTTGCTTTTAATTAGTTTTATTTATTAGAGTTTAAATATCCACAGGCTGTATAGTTTTCCTAAAAAGTTATGCTTTTAGTTTATTTCAGATTCTGTGCTTTGTCAGTGTAGAAAGTAAGAGTCAGGATGATGTATGGTCAGTCACTGCTTTTATCAAGGTCTGTGCAGACAATGGAAGTCGGACAGGAATGATTGCTCTTGGCAATGTAAAGAGCAGATTCCACATACTTGTGTGTGAAGGCAATAGCAAATGTTCAATAGTACCCTGTTGAGCGGATGATACACTCCATGTGCAGGTTAGGCAGTTGTTTAGTATGTGTCTTGTTACACAACAGAGTCGACAGTATGCACCTATGAAACCCATGGCTTTAGGCATATGTTCTGACTCCCTTTCCTATAGCCCAGGGCCTACCGACAGCTGGAGCAATTTAGTATGTAAAATAGATCTGCATCAGCTGTTAAGACTGTCTTTTGCTGTAACTTGCTTCTCACCTAAATGATACTAGTAAAAGCAACACTTAGGCTATATCCACACTGGCAATTGAACGATAAAACGTTTGTCTTTCAAAGGTGTTAAACCTCTCACGCCCTGCCCCACTGAAACACAAAAGTTTTGCCATGACAAATGCCAGTGTGAATGAACAGCGCGTTGTTGGCAGGAGAGCTCTCCTGCCGACAATGCAAACGCCGCTCATTAGGGGTGGAAGTTTTTTGTCGGCAGGAGAGCCGACAAACAGTAGCTACACTGCCTGAGTTTTAGTGGCACGGCTGTAATGACACAGCTGTGTCGTCAAAAGCTGTGTAGTGTAGACAAGCCCTTAGTGTTTCAAAATGAAATAATGCCAGTATTGTCTTTGTAGTTTTGTTCAGGAAGTTGTTAGCCAAAATACCACTTAATATACACTTAGTTCCCTTACTTTGGATTTAGTGTATTACACAATGCAAATTATAGTTTGCAGAATTATTACACAAAATGCTGCCCTTAATTTATGATGGTAGCAGAGTTTGTGAATAACCAGTGTCCATGACTAGTGAACATAGCACAATTAATGAGATTTTAGGCAGGTATGAATGCACTTAAAAAATGAAATGCAGCAGAGTTCATACCAGGTTCTTTGCTATAGATAGCTATCTCTGACATACACTATCTTTGGATTATTCTTTTTTATGAAGGTATCTATCTTTGGATGCAGTCCCTCAATAATAAATGGTGTCACAAACACAAAAGCAGAATTTAACCTCTCATAAATCTCTATACTATATGTTGGCTGACAGTGTTGGTGGGGTGAAGAGGAGGAGATGAGAGACCAGAGTGGATGTGCTGGTGCCTTGTACTGTACCTGCAGCACTTTGGTCAAGTTCTCCTTTTTTGACAATTTTAAAGTACACTTTAAAATACTCTCTTTTCTTAAACTTAAAACTGTGCTTTTATTTTGAATTTGTTAAAACTACAAAAGCATCTCTCCACCATCCCTCCAGCAAGAGGACTAGTGCATCCTTTGGGTATGTACGATAAGTGAGAAATGTATGTCTATCACCAGAAACTACAGAATAGGATAGTTTCCATATCTGAAAGATGCACTAATCCTAGGAGGCAGTTCTTAGTATCTATTAGGTTAAGAGGATGAAAAGTAAAAGCTAATGCCCCTATGAAGCTTTCACTTTTGAATGGTCATGCATGGTGGTCTAATGTTTGAATGTTTCTGCTCTTTATCATGAGCTTATGAACTATGTGTAGCTTTAATAATATTTGATTCCAGAGGCTGAGTATATCAAATCCCTCTTGCAGGAATCTTAGGGGAACTGAACAATGTGGGTTTTGATCTTCTCTTGAAGGAAGTTGATGTTAGATGTTGGTGATGACATCAGACATACACTATTGCCCACCAATGTGTGCTATTGCCCACTCGGGAGGGTAGTGTAGCACATGTGTAATTTGTCTCATGACTAACTTTTACCAAGTTTTTATTGCTTGACAAGCAGAATAGAATAGAAATCTTATGAGATGAAATTCACCTCTTAAGTAAAAAGCCTGAGTCCTAGAGCTCCATGTCAGTAAAGTCTTGAAAGATGGATAGGGAGAAGACACAAAACTTCATCCCTTCTGCAGGGTCTGCAACATCACAATGACTGTTACTACAGCTTGTGGGCTGGCCAAACAACTGCAGCTCATCTGTGCAACCTGTCGGGTACACTTGTGGGGGATGGATTGGTGTAACTGAGGATCCTGTGGCCTCTGGCTTGTGCCCTGCTTACATACTTGCATTACGGTAAAGCCACCTTCTGCTGTGGCAACATTAGAAACTCTGTCAGAGGTGTGCATAGTGTGTGCAGTCCACTCCATGGCTATTGTGCTTCCAGGCCCCTTGCATTATATCACCATAAGGCATATGTGTTACAGAAGGCTTTACTCTGGCCCTCTGCACCATGGAGAAATTCAGAGTATAAAGAATTGACATTTCAGAGCAAGGTAGAGGAAAAGTCCAAGTTCACTTCAGTTCATTGAAATGTGTGCACTTCTTCAGTTCCACTAGTGAAACCATTCCTGGGGAGAGGGTGGAAGGATTTCATTATTGGCCAAAACCTTTGGGTTTCTGAGAGCTATGTATTGCTATTGCATTGTATTAAGTGTACCTTGAGGGTATTAGATGGAATTGAGTGGTATAAGAGGACGTATACGTACATGTATTTACACAATTAACACATGATATATTTGTCAATTCAGGTTGCTGCCTTGAAGTATATACCATCGGTCCTCCAAGATGTTGAAACAGTCTTTGATGCCAAGTTACTTAGGTGAGCTGCTATTCAACAGCATTTTGTGTCCAATGTTGTCTGCATGCAAAAGTGTCAGTTCTGTCCAATATGTATACCGAGCTAGATTCTTAGCCACTATAAATAGGCATAGCACCGTTTAAATCAATATAGCTATGTCAGTATTCACCAGTTAAGGATCTAGCTCATTTTGTTCAATTTGAAGCATATTTGAAGTATCTGTCATGTGTTGTTTACAATGAATATAGAATCAACATCATCTCGGCATGACAACCAAGTTCAGGATCTATTCGAGCTGTATCCTCTCCGTACTGTTGTACAGTTGCAAAACATGGACACTGTGCCACTCAGACTGGGCAAAACTGGAGGCTTTCCACACACGATGCCAACATCGTATATTGGGCATAAAATGGAATCACTTAATTTGTAATGCAGATGTTTACGATTGCTCCAGTCCACAGAGTACTGGGGCCATTGTCTGAAAAGCATAAGATGCTATCTGCGTACATGTAGTGAGAATGCCACAAGATATTTGGGTGAATGTTGTTCTCTGGGTGGCTAGTAACATCCGGGATAAAATTCCACCAACTGAGGGGTGGAAGTGGCCCAGAGGCAGACCCACTATTACCTGGGTTCATCAAGTCTGTTCTGATGTTGGACTCTCGGGCCATCAATCCCTTGCCGTCATGCAGGAATGGACCAAATGGCGAACGATCACTATGGCCAACTGTTTGACTAAGTGTTGAAGAAGAAGAATATTCTAGATAGTGAGTTGTATTCTTAAGAGTGTATTATAATACAGTTTAACATCTAGGCCTACTTTTCAAACATTTGTTCAGTGAGTGGAATTAGCAAGTAATGCAATGCACTTTTGGAGAATAAGTGGCACTACCAAAAAGGCCACGACTCTGGCTGGCTGACAATAGATGTCTTCCTGATAAATGACAGAAGATTTGTTGGCCCAAAACTGCATTGTATTGCACATGCGCAATGGGCAAAAATGTCAAGTGTTAATTTTTGGGCAAAAATGCCTAACACTTAGTTTTTCCCTCTTAACAGTTGGTCTTTCTCCCCTGATAGCAGTCTTAATACACAACAAAATACAAGGAAATGTATTGAATATATTTGTTAAGCATTAGAGGTATTTTAGTAGTTACTGCTCTTGCTATCTGTCATATTAGCATAAGAAATTAATCTAAAATGTATTTGTGATATTTCCTCTTATCTGCAGCCAACTACTGTATGAGTTTTACACTTGCATCCCACCAGTAAAACTACAGAAGCAAAAAGTGCAGTCCATGAATGAAATAGTACGGAGCAACCTCTTTAAAAAACAAGGTAAATCCAAATTGCCTTCAGATTTTAAAGTAAATGTGTTTGAGATTGACACAGCGGTTTTTAATCTCTCCATAATTTTATTTGATGTAGAGTAGATTGAATGATAAGAATTATGTAAGTCCTCTATCTGTAAAAGCAGATTGAGGTGGCTTCTGGTTGATCCTTCTGGCCAAGACAATTAGTTTGCAAAGGCATGGCCATTAGACCAGAACGAAGACTTAGCTAGACCTGGGAAGGGTTGTTTGTGAGTGCTTATTTTAGTGGTAAAATTTGAAGATTGAGAAACCTGTTGTGGCTACCATCAAATCCATTTTTTAAGATGTACAGAAATATAAGAACATTTAGAGGTAACATTTTAAAAAATTCTTAAATCACTTCTGCAAATGGGACTTAGGCTCCTAAATCAATTAGATGCTTTTGAAAAATTTGCCCCAAATGTTTGTCCAATACAGGGATTACAGAGGTCAATCTTTTGGGGGTGGGAGGCCAAGGGCAGGGGAGGAGAGAGGAAACGAGAGCAAAACCTACGGTTGCCAGGCATCGGGTTTTCAACTGGTCAGCACTGCTGACCGGGCCATTAAAAATCCAGTTGGTGGCGCAGTTGGGCTAAGGCAGGCTCCTTGTCTGCCCTGGCTCCGCGTGGCTTCCGGAAATGGCGGCATGTCTGGCTCCTAGGCAGAGGGGTGGCCGGGGGCTCCGCATGCTCCCCCCGCCCTAAGTGCCAGCTCTGCAGTTCCCATTGGCTGGGAACTTTGGTCAATGGGAGCTGTGGGGGTGACCCCTTGGACGGAGCCGGCATGCAGAGCTGCCTGGCTGCATCTCCGCCAAGGAGCCAGAGGGACATGCTGGCTGCTTGTAGGAGTCACCTGAGGTAAGCGCTACCCTCACCCCTTTTCCCCCCCCCTGCACCCCAACCCTCTGCTCCAGCCCTGAGCCCCCTCCTGCACCCAAACTCCCTCCCTGAGCCTGCACCCTAACCCCTTCCCTCACTCCAACTCCCTGCCTGAGCCCCTCCCAGAGCCTGAACCCCGCACCCTCTCCTGCACCCCAACTCCCTCCCAGAGCCCGCATCCCTCCCACACTCCAAACCCCTTGGCCCCAGCCCGGAGCCCCCTCCTGCACACCAAACCCGTCATCACCAGCCCCACACCAGAGCCCTCACCCCCAGCCGGAGCCCTACCCCCTGTGCCCTGACCCCCTGCCCCAACCTGGAGACCCCCCCGCACTCTGAATCCCCTCACTTGTGGCCCCACCCCAGAACCCACACCCACAGCCCAGAGCCCTCACCTCCTCCCGCGCCCCAACCTGGAGACCCTCCCGCACTCTGAATCCCCTCACTTGTGGCCCCACCCCAGAGCCCACACCCACAGCCCAGAGCCCTCACCTCCTCCCGCACCCCAACCCCCTGCCCAACCCGGTGAAAATGAGCGAGTGAGCAAGGGTGGGGGAAAGTGAGCGACAGAGGAAGGGGGGAATGGAGTGAGTGGGGGATGGGCCTCAGAGAAGGGGCAAGGCAGGGGTGGGGCAGGGGGCAGGGCAAGGGTGTTCAGTTTTCTGCAATTGGAAAGTTGGCAACCCTAGCAAGACCAATAATCACGTGAATGGAGAAACCAGGTCATGTCCCTTTAAAAGGAGGTATTTGAGAAGGATAACAGTGTTATGACAGCATTGATAACACCATAGGGTTGGAAAAAAGTGGGGAGGACACTTCTAATAGACTGTGCTTCTGACATGTGGGCCTGCCACATGTGAGGGGCGAGGGGAAAAATACCCAGATATGTGAAATATTCACTTTGATTACCTGCAGCAACTAAGTTTAATTTTTTCCTGAGTATAAAACTATTGATGGGTTGTCCCAGGTGTTTTTATCTGGGTTTTTTTCTCTCTCCTGAATAAATCTTCTTTTAATTAGTCTATTTGAGTCTTCAGTGAAATTGAGGTTAAGTCACTGCTGTACGTTCTTTGTTGCCTTCGTTAAAGGGAAAGCTATTCTTTGACGTTGCTACACTAGCAAATTTCGCATCTTTAGTTCACCCACTGTGTAGCTCCTCCACAAGGAGGAAGCTACCATGCAGGCAAGGCTCAGTGGCTTTTAACACTGTGTCACGTATCTCTGCTCCAAGCAGGTGTAAATGACAGCGTTAAAAATGTCAGTGCTCACAACAGCCTTGTCAGTGCTAGCACTCCCACTGTTGCTACCACAGGTGGGAACTTTTTGCCCAAAAAAGTATTGTACATCAGGCCTAATTGACTGGCTTCATTAACCTCAGTGCCAAGAACTGTGCCTCACTACGAATAACAAATAAGGCTCTATTCCGTCCTTGGTAGGAATAGCTGAGCTTGTTGCTCTCTTGGCTTCATATTGGAGCTGAGCAAGCCTCAGTAACTTGGAAAGGGCACCTAGTCTGCTCCAATGGTTTGATAGTTGCTCAGCATTTCCACTTGTGACAATTTATAAAACAAATCTGTCATGATCCTGGGAACTTGACAATAACAACAGTGACTCCGTATGGTGATGTAGAGGAGTATGCCAGAGTGGAATGCTTTTGCTCATCGCATTGTACAATGTTCCCAGAATAGTCATAGGCACAGACTTAAGCACTATGGACAGATGGAAATGCAGCACTGTCATAGAGCTTCTATAGGGTGCATGCTGTTGAGGGCGAGACTAGATTGTTAGCTAAAATAGTAACAAGATATTTCATCTAAAGTCCATTGTGTTTTCAGGACATTGAGGACCGTTTAACCAAGTTAGCAGTCATGAAGTATTGTATAACATGCAAAATTTTCAAGTTTTCTATGCAATATTATGCGGTCTTTAATCAGTACTCTTGTTAGTGATTTCATGCACTTAGCCTTTGATTTTTGACTACTAGCTTATCATTAAAACCTTGCATATTAACCAAATTAGCACCTTGTTTCAAGCTATTAAATCTAAGTGAAACAGCATCTAATCTACAATCAAAGTTTTGTGTACATAATTGAACTGCAGTAAATATGTCTAGAGCGATTTAAGAAGTCGGAGTAGTTACAGACAATTTGCCAGAAACAAAAACTCTTTTGGCTAGAGAGGTTGTACAGAGAGGTACTTGTAGGAGGCTGCAAAGAATGTGAAAGCCTCTTCATCATATTTCCAGTTGGTTGCATTATAACTGGTAAGTCACAAATTACAAAGCCAAATAGAAAGTGTTGGGATAAAAATGCTTGTGTGGGAAGGAACAAGTAATGTTACTGACAAGCAGTAAGTGGACTGTGCTGGGCTAACTCCAAGAAATTACTCAGTGTAAGTATATTCAATATCTGTGCGCAACTGAACTGAGCATATAGGTGTGAGATACCAGCAAGTGGTACAGCACATCAGGCTGTGAAGATCTGAATTCCTCCTCATCTCCCGGCAACACCAGGTGTTGCCAACTGTGAGAACATCCAGAGATTTCAAGCAGCAGCAGCCTAAATCTAATTCTGATTTTACTGACGGTATTGGTTCAATCTGTTTTCTGCCTAATCTTTATGCTTTTAGCTAAGTTCCATTAGAGTCTCCAGCCAAATATTTCCTTTGCTGGATAAACAGAGCTCTCCATCATTCTATTCCAGCATATTCAGAGCCAGAGAATCAATCCAAGTACTTCAAACCTACCGTGGGAGGAGAGTAGCTAACTGACTCTTAAAATAATCTTTTAAAGGGGCATGAGACATTTAACTCCTCTGTATTGGTAGGATTCCTATGGGACCTAGGTTTATCAACCTTCTTTTGGGTCTGTTATAGCAACCCCTCATACTCATTCAAAGAAGGGCACTTGGTTGAGTATGCGCCAGGAGTAAAAGGGTTAAGGAGCATCCAGCACTGTACATCATTCTAGACAGGATGTGACCTAGGTGTAGCCATGGCCTTACTTTCTATACTCCTCTTCTGTGGCTGTTTGGATGGGAGAGTAGACTGCTGCTCTTAAGCACATGATGTAAGGGCTGCCAATCAGTGCATCTTCGCTCCCCGGTGTGTTACAGGGAATTTGCTTGGGGCACAACAACCTCAGATGACTTCTTCTCCTTCCCCTGCCAACAAAGTTATCCCTGTAGTAACATTAATGTGACTCTTGGTAGTTTTGTGTAGGTTTTACATGTTAAAAACAAACTGACTGTCATCTGCAATGCTTAATTTAAAACAAACAAACAAACAAACAAACAAAAATTTAAAACTCAATGTAAGCTTCCCAGAATGGTGAAATCAAAGCCAGCTGTTATAGTCACCCATCAAGTGTATTTAGCCAATTCAGTCAGTCATCTTGAGCACACAGTCCTCTTTCTCAGTGCTATGTTGGTGGTGCTGTTTGTATGAGAGACAAAGTGTTTTGACATTGCTAAAATGAGCTCTGACACAGTGCTCAAGCAGAAGCTTTGATGCTTGAGGCTGGTGAAATGAGTAAATAAAGTTTAACCATGGAGAGAGGATGTTTGTTGTTTATAACCTCAGTTGCCATTTCTTTCCTAAATTAATATTGTTGGTATCACTCAAAACAGCTTTCATATAATAATGCTATGGCAAAAATAGTAATGAACTACTAGTTATGAATTATTTATCCAAACACTTTTATACAAAATTCCGCATAAAAAGCATTAATCATAAAGATTCTTGTCTGAATAACTCTATATGGGCTGGTGATGATAGCATTTGGATGGTCATTAAGGGCATATCTATGCAGGAACACTCAGGAAAGTTAAGCTGAGTGAACCAAAGGTGTGAGTTTAAAGTGCACTAGTTAAGGAGCTTTAAACCCTTGTGTGGATGCTCTAATTCAGACGTGAAGTGGCCTTAGCTGACTTTAGTTCAGGAGTGGGCAAACTACGGCCCGCGGGCCACATCCGGCCCACCAGCCGATTTAATCTGGCCCTTGAGCTCCCACCGGGGAGCGGTGTCAAGGACTCTCCGCACGCACGTGCTGCAGCTCTGTGCAGCTCCTGGAAGCAGTGGCATGTCCCCCCTCTGGCTCCTACGTGTGGGG